CTGGCTTCCTTCATAATTCTCCAGATGTTAAGGAGGATTTTGTATCTTGTTCCTGGTAAGGAGGACACAGCAGACGTAGCATTGATGCAAACCATCTGTTTCTTTTGTCTTAACACTTTCTCTTCCATTTCTCCTTCATCTCTTCCCTCCTTTCCTTTCTCTCCTTTTAACCCCCTCCCTCTTTTTACCAAGGCCTCTGATAAATAAACAGTGAGGTTACGACAGGTATGAGGAAACAACAGAGATGTTTTTGGACTGCAGTTTCATCATCACTAACCATTCAACATGCTGGCTGGGGCTGATGAGAGTTGGAGCCCAACAACGTTTGGAGGGCCGCAGGTTCCCCATTAATGGTTGACTTCCATTTCCTAGCAAATGTGCTTTTTATCCTATTCCTCCCCCTCCAAATCTTTTGTGAATGAGTATCTAAGTTTCTGTTGCTGCTTTGCTGTTGTTTAAATGTGTTAAACAATCATCGCTTTAAAAGCCACATGAAACTTGTGCTCCTCAATGTCTGCAGTTTGCATGAACTTAACCTCCCTGCTTTAATACTCTAAAAGAGGATTCTTCCTACATTTGGTGTTGGTGTGGGGAAAATAGACAATCTTCAGTTCATTTTTTATATCCATAAAACATGAATGAGCACGGCTTAATAAATTTGCCTTCCTTAAGGTAAAAGGTAAAGGGACCCCTGACCATTAGGTCCAGCCGTGACCAACTCTGGGGTTGCGGTGCTCATCTCGCTTTATTGGCCGAGGGAGCCGGCGTACAGCTTCCGGGTCATGTGGCCAGCATGACTAAGCTGCTTCTGGTGAACCAGAGCTGTGCATGGAAACACCGTTTACCTTCCCACCAGAGCGGTACCTATTTATCTACTTACACTTTGATGTGCTTTTGAACTGCTAGGTTGGCAGGAGCAGGGACCGAGCAACGGGAGCTCACCCCGTTGCGGGGATTCAAACCACCAACCTTCTGATTGGCAAGTCCTAGGCTCTGTGGTTTAACCCACAGCACCACCCGCGTCCTGCCTTCCTTAAGAGGATCTATCTAATGTTAACTTGGGGTGGGGGATATTTGCCTTGGCTTTGGAAGCAGAAGAGTAAAATATACCAGGGTTGACAACATCCATCTGTGGCCACACTTCAGCAGGATGGACCTCTGTTTCCACAATAGGACTTCCCCTCCGTCTCCTCTCTCTGCAACCCGCAACTCAGATCAGCCCTGGATCTTCCTCTGGGGCAGTTTGTGGGGTAGGGGAATGCAGGGAGCTGCTGGCAGGGGGAGGGAAGAAGGAGAACACCCATTGCATGAGTGGATGATTGCTTGTGCAACGCTGTGCAACTCTGGGTGTTACTCCTGGTGATGAAATTGCTTCTGAAATACGCTTTCCCAACATATATCCCATAGGTTTGCTCCTTACTAGAAAACTTGCGCTGAGACTTCAAAGCAGCTTTATTAATATTGCTACACAGTGTCCTATAGATCTAAGAAACTTGCTGGAATGATTTTAGGTGACTTTGGGGCAGCATACTGAGGGAATTGTCATCTTCAATGAGAAAGGAACTTTGCCATGTGCTGTCTAGCATGGTTGCTTTGCACTCCAGCTCTCATTTATTCTCACAGCATTTCTGTGCAGAGGTCCACACCAGGCAGGCATGTCCAAAGTCCGTTTTGGGGGCCTAATCTGGCCCACCAGTCGGTTTAATCCAGCCCTGTGGCAGTTTATTTCCTGGGGTAAAACCCTCCACAACTTCAATCCTTAAAAATGGTCAACAACTTTGGTTAGCCCTTTGGTCAGCCCTCACAGCCCTTCACCTCATCAAATCTGGCCCTCTTTGGGAAAGGTTTGGACACCACTACATCTATAATCTCAAAGACTTCTGGACACCAAGGAAATCAATGTTTTAATCCAACCCTGGTTTATATGCTCATGCACAGAGAGGGAATCAAAGCTATTAAGCAGATAGAAGGTAAGGTAAAGGTAAAGGGACCCCTGACCATTAGGTCCAGTCATGGCCAACTCTGGGGTTGCGGCACTCATCTCTCTTTATTGGCCGAGGGAGCCGGTGTACAGCTTCCAGGTCATGTGGCCAGCATGACTAAGCCGCTTCTGGCGAACCAGGGCAGTGCACGGAAACACCGTTTACCTTCCTGCCGGAGTGGTACCTATTTATCTACTTGCACTTTGATGTGCTTTCGAACTGCTAGCTTGGCAGGAGCAGGGACCGAGCAACGGGAGCTCACCCCGTCGCGGGGATTCGAACAGCCAACATTCTGATCAGCAAGTCCTAGGCTCTGTGGTTTAACCCACAGTGCCACCCGGTCCCAGATAGAAGGTAGAATAACTTTATATAACTCACCTTTATATAACTCACTTTATAAGTTTGCTCATTCTGTTTGCCTGGCAACACTGCCTGAAACCCTCATCTTACCCATATTCCCTTTATTGCTGAAATTTTCTCAAGGGAAGGCACAATCATTTCTGCCATCATCACCCTCAAGGAAAGGAGCAATTATTTGGCACCACACATTCAAGAATGCACTCCTGCTCCCTCTTTGGGGTAGGAGGAGCAGGTGAAAGTAGCTTGAAACTCTTTTCAGCCTGGCACAAAGCTTTCGCTGCCATTTTTGTCTTTCGGGCTCAGCTTCTCTCGCATACTGCCAATCAGATTTAGCCACGTGCTGACGTTACTGAGGGTAAATGAAGTGAATTCAGCTTGAGGTTGCCCTCATTCTGAATTCACATTGCCCTTATTCTGAATTAGCACACAAAAAAAAACATTATGCAGCCATATCTAGGCAATGTCATTGTTCCTAAGAAAAAGACCTAATTTGAAAGCAGGGAGATGAATGGGATAAAATCAGCATCCAAGCAAAGGCTTTGAACAAATAAAAAAGAGGGGAAATTCACAGGAAACATTTCAGCCCCCGACCTCAAAATCTTTTTTTTTTTTAAGAAAAAAATTATTCAGCAGCAAACATTTGTATCAGTTAGCTTCAATGGGAAAATTAAGCACAATGCCTGTATCTCTCTCCTTGTGAGAGCAGTGGGACTTAATGTATGCTTACCTTTGGCTGGATCATGTCCATGTTCTATGGCTCTGCTCCCATATATTCTATTATTACACCTTGCCTCTCATTCCTAGAAGCTCATAATCCACTCAAGGTCTAGCCAAAGAACTTCATCCCAGTCACTTTGTCAAAGTAACAAGACATTTCCCCACTATGGGATGCGCACAAGGCCACATCAGTTGACAGAAGAGCTGACAGAGAGCAAGCTCTAGTGGGATCTCAGATTTATGTCTCTCAAAACACACCATCCCCTGTCAAATTGCACTCAATACAGTAAAATTATGGAGTCTTGCAACGAAAAAGGCGCGGGGGGGGGAGGGAGCTCAGTTCCAAACTGATGCAGGGGATTACTGGCTGAAAGTCTGCTCTTCAGGGAGCAATCTAAGTGTTATATTTACATTTGGCTTGGACTTATTTGCAGGGAGGAATTTAAAATGCAAATATTTTAAAAGCATAGAGTGTTGGGAGAGAAACGGAGTGTGGGTACTTCTGTTTTCCTTAACAAGAAATAAAGTGAACCGTTTTCTCGACTTTCTTTATTGGAATCTTAATGAGACCATAATTACGACAGCAAGAAATGGGGGGGGGGATGTAGCACTTTAAAGGCTCATTGTTACTATCCAGAGTGGGCTCCAGATTTCTTTCTTTCTTTCTGAAAATAAACTCGTCTCTGTTTTCCACCATTTGCAATCCTCGGGCTCCTTTCCCTGTAACATTCCTGTAGCAGCCTGATGGACGTTAATAGGAGCATACCAGACTATGTGGTTTGAGAAGCAGGACCATGCAGTGTGGGCCACAGTCCTTGAGACTATGTAGTTGTACTTTAACGTAAGTACAAATGTAAGCCACCTCGAAGCCAACTCAACCTGTGTTTGAGCACCACCTTTATTTAGCACGTTTATGTTCCAATGTGCTTGCAGTGGCATCGATGACAAAACCCTGTTTTACCATCACAATAACCTTTGAGGCAGAGTAGGTTAAAGCAAGAACTTTCTCCAGGCCATGGAGCCGGATGGCTGAATGAGGGAGGATTTGAACCCAGCCAATATTCCGTCCAATGTATGTCATAGCCACAATGGTACTCTGAAAGGCGTTGTGGCAAAGGTAACACAAAAACAAAACAAAGAAAGAACAAGAACAAAAAGCATTTCCAGAGAGCGAAGCTATGAATTGAGGGTAAAGGGATGGCTGACCCCATACTTTGACCACAGCTATCCCAGACCATCAAAAGCGATCCACACATGCTTTTTTCAAATATATCCCCTTTTGAGATTGGATCACACACAACAGAAATGAGTATTGTGTATGTGGTATGCTGTGATAGACGCCTACCTCATTCCAATAGCTGGATTCAAACCACATATACAGTGACAGTGTATTTGAGAAGAGTGATAAAGACTAAATCCAAACCTGAGGTGCCATACACAGCAAGGGTTAAAATCTGATGTAGGATTCTCTTGCTGAATTAGGCATTTGTGAGACAATGGCTTTAGCTGGCCACTTAAGCACCTTGATTGCCATAACCAAAGGTGTTACTCTGTGCTGCAGGGTAAATGGGTGGGTCTTTCCCCCTCCCACATGGCTGGTAGTTAGAAGAAGAATAGGAAAGTACAGTGGTAGTTCAGGTTACGAACTTAATTCGTTCCAGAGGTCCGTTCCTAACCTGAAACCATTCTTAACCTGAGGCGCGCTTTCGCTAATGGGGCTACCCACTGCCCCTGTGCCACCAGTGCAAAATTTCCATTCTCATCCTGGGGCAAAGTTCTCAACCCGAGGTACTACTTCCAGTTTAGCGGTGTTTGTAACCCGAAGCATGTGGCAAAGCAATCATATGCATATTTAACTTCAGGTAGGTAGCCGTGTTGGTCAGACACAGTAGAAATATATTTTAAAAATTAAAAAAAAAATGTCCAGTAGCACCTTAGAGACCAACTAAGTTTGTTCAAGGTATGAGCTTTCATGTGCATGCACACTTCCTCAGATAAGAAGTGTATCTGAAGACGTGTGCATGCACATGAAAGCTCATACCAAGAACAAACATAGCATATTTAATTATCAGCTGCATATCAATATAGATGAACTCAATTTAAGTTCAGCGAGGGGGGAACATGAGTGATCTGAAGACCCTGCTAGAAGATCAAACCTATCCATTCTGAAGGAAATCAGCCCTAAGTGCTCACTGGAAGGACAGATCCTGAAGCTGAGGCTCCAATACTTTGGCCACCTCATGAGAAGAGAAGACTCCCTGGAAAAGACCCTGATGTTGGGAAAGATTGAGGGCACAAGGAGAAGGGGACGACAGAGGACGAGATGGTTGGACAGTGTTCTCGAAGCTAGCAGCATGAGTCTGACCAAACTGCGGGAGGCAGTGGAAGACAGGAGTGCCTGGCGTGCTCTGGTCCATGGGGTCACGAAGAGTCGGACACGACTAAACGACTAAACAACAAAGCATCTGGTTATTCAGGAAAATATTCTGTATGAAGCACCCCATAAAAGTTTGTTTACCGGCTACCACCAGAGCCATGATGTCCGGCTCTCAAGAAAACAGAAGAATCAAAAGAAAAAAACAAGAAACATGAATGGCAGTGCATCTGCAATAAAGCACACTCAAGTATGACACAGATTTGATCACAGTCCAGCTCAACGCCAGATAAGCTGCCTAACTGTTTCCACACATGTAGTGCTGGTACACATGGGGTGGAATACATTAGCTGGAAACAACCTATAAACAAGACTATTATGTCTCTCCCAGTCTGATGGATGTAGATCTAAAGGCAAGGGGAAGTTGAGGTGAGTTGCTGTTATTTGGTAACCTGGTACACAAAGAGTAGCTGGAAGGAAAAAGAACAGACTTCAGGGAAATCACATGGCATGCTGACATTGCGCTCTACGGTGTACATTTGCTACATATTAAATTAGCTGTGACCATCTTGTCCTGGCTTCCTTGCTCTTACAGAACGTTCTTTACACCCCCTTTCCTTAAACATTTGCACTCTGGAAGGTACACAGCTGGCTCATTCTCCTGAACAGCATCCAAACTTTTTGCATGTAAATTTGCCAGTCAACAAAGATGCAACAAAGCCGCTCTTTTGTTTTCGTTTTCAAAGTGTACAGATTAATTCTACTGCTTAAGGAGTCCTTTAGAGATATGAATATTTATTTGAATCTCCGCAAGATGCCTGAATTTCCATATTGTGTTTGACCATACTCAGAAAGCTTTGTAGTGGGAAGATTCTTGGACTTGAACTGTGGAGACTTGGGTTCATAATCCCTGCTCACCTCCAGAGCATGTTATTGCAATTTCCCATAATATAATGCATTTTTGTTTGCTATTTTTATTAATATATACATTTTTATGCACATTTTCCTCAAATATGCACATTTTTGTATACAATGTTTTAGCTGGAGAGCTGTACTACATAATTTAAAGTGTGAATCTCAAAGTGCAATGTACTTTACAGTCTTCGCCACATTCATTCTCAGAGTAACAGCACAGTAAGATTAAAATACACTTCCTTCCCATTACAGTGATGATGGGGCACTCCCAAAGTCACACAAAACCACTATAGGAACTGAATCCTGACCCTCCTTGAAGCTTATTGCCACTTTTGTAGGTAACAGACAGAAGGTAACACAAAGAATTATTGTAGGCTGCTGGCTACTGTTCCCATTTGGCTTTAGCTTCTTGTTCTCTTCCTTTTGCTCCATTTATGTGATACATTTTCTGAGCAAAAAGGTTGCTGCCACCACACATTTTAACCAATGCTAGACTCATGCCACTGCCGGTTGTGTAAGTGAGTGAGCTAGGATCCGGCCGTTATGGATCTGTGCTGACTCAGAAATCGGAGTCTGCTTTTAATTTCCTTTCTCTCGTTTCCTTTCATCCTGTGAGAAATAACTATGAGGTAAATCAAGTGGCCTGTCTCCACAGGCTGTCCTTGGCTTGGCATACGAAGGCCTAGCAAAGAAAGGATCCATCAATTCTGTGATTGCCGTCAATTCTGTGGGCTTTGTTAGTTTGAATAGTGTTTGGTTTCCCAAACATTAATTGGTCATGCCACTATTTACTGGTAGGACTCAAAATCCTGGACACCATATTTCTGCTCGTAAAACCAGAATATGTGGGTGTGAGTCTGTGACTGTTTTGCATGCATCAATGTGTTCTGGTTTCAAAAATCAGATTTTTCTGATCTGGATTAAATGTGTGGATGCTGAGAAAACAACAACACCTGGAACCACTGCTAGACACTCTGCAGCGGGAGGAAAAATGTCCATTGTGGCTATCCTCTAGCATTAAATATGTTACTGAATAGGTATTAGCCCTCAAAAATGTTGTGCAATTAACAGTTGGGTGTGCTAGACTTGTCAAAGGGCCAGGGCTTTTTTTCAGCCAGAACTCGCCGGAACTCAGTTCCAGCACCACTCAGGTGGGCACCATTGCCATTCTCAGAGAAAGAGGGAGGTGTTCACAGTGAGTTTTGGAAACTCTTTTTCTAGAAAAAAGTAGCACTGCAAAGGGCTGTAATCAAAACTTGGAAATAAACACATATCCCTAATCCATCGATACACTGGGTTTCTTTTTGCCTTTTGGAGGTTACAACGTTTTTCATAGTGCCCGGAGGCTTAGGAAGGAAGTGCTATTGACGTTCAAAAACATGGCTTGAAAGGGAGTTTGTACTGTGCATGGTTTTTACTCCAAGGGTCAAACTAAAGATTATGTGGAAGATCCAGGTTTGCAATGATGCTTAACAAATCAGCCACAGAGGACCCAATTTGAATTGCACCATGGCACAAGCAGCGTGGAGGTTCTACGTGGGCTTTGCTCTTTTATAGTTTTGATAATAGATTTTATGTTATTGTACTATTATGCTGTTCACTACTTTGAGGGATAAAAAGCTTTTATCCAGTATATCTGAAGGAGCGTCTCAACCCCCATCATTCTACCCGGACACTGAGGTCCAGCACTGAGGGCCTTCTGGCGGTTCCCTCACTGCGAGAAGCTAAGTTACAGGGAACCAGGCAGAGGGCCTTCTCAGTAGTGGCACCCGCCCTGTGGAACGCCCTCCCACCAGATGTCAAAGAGAACAACAACTACCAGACTTTTAGAAGACATCTGAAGGCAGCCCTGTTTAGAGAAGCTTTTAATGTTTGATGTATTACAGTATTTTAATATTTTTTTGGAAGCCGCCCAGAGTGGCTGGGGAAGCCCAGCCAGATGGGCGGGGTATAAATAAATTATTATTATTATTATTATTATTATTATTATTATTATTATTATTATTTGGGACGAAACAAGGGAGGGAGAGGGAGAGAGAGATGTAGCATAACACCCAGTATAGACACTTTAATAGTAGCAGCACTGAAAAGGGTGATTTGATTTGGGGACCACTTTCCTACACATGCAGCTGCTTTTAGGGGAAAAAATTATTCAGCTGAACGATCTTCTCACAGATATCCTATGGGATACCTGTGTAGATCCTCACTTATCATAGTCCTCTCATTCCAGTAGTGGGCAGGCATCATGATATGCAGAGAGGAACTGTGGATAGCAGGGGAGTTTTCCCTTCACCAAGGCTTCTGAAGGTGCAGGTGAAAGTCAGCAGATCACTTGCCATATCTCCAAAGGGACAAACAGAGACACCTATCTAGTGCTGAGCCAAAAATGTGTGCTTCCTTGAAAATGGCAACTGGCACTTTTAAAGGAAGTGATTGACAACTTGAGCTGAAGACAAGTGGACCATGCTGTCAGATATGTCCTTTAAGCTCCTATTTCAGATGAGGTCACCTTGAATATTGTGTACATTAAAACCCTTCTTCCCAAATTTGGTTCCAAAACATACTTTCAAGAAACTTGACTTGCCTTTAATCAGGAGTGAGCTTTGTCCTCTTCTAAAAAGTAACCTCCCCACTAAAAACCAGGCTCCCCAACATTGCTACTAATGCCTACTGTTTCCTCCAAAGTATGATTTATACAAATTGTGTAGAACCACCAGCTTTGGTTATCTACTTCTCAGTTTGGTTTGGTTTGGTTTGGTTTGGTTTGGTTATCAACTTCTCAGTTTGGAAACATGAAGTAAACAAGTAGAAGTAGGCATGGAAATGGGGATGAATAGCTCCTAGGCAATCTATCTGGGAGGGGATTGTTTCACTTTTTGTGAACACACTCAGCAGTGGTGACTTTTTCAAGCTGGCTGAAATAATTCAGAAACTTTTGAGAGGAGTTTTACATCCTTCTGGATCTGGCCATTGAGTTCCTCCATTTGCTCCAGCTTCCCTCGTGTTCAGTGTCCAACAACTCCCATGCCTGCACATTTAAGGATGAGGCAGCTGGGAAGCTGGAACTTTAAAAACTCCACCGTGTCATGAAGGGAAATTCAGTTATTATCTCTAATATAACACAGGTGTTTAATAGGCTTTTCAGCAGTCTGCCCCCGACATGCAGCTCAGCAGAACAATAACTTTGTCAGCTTTTTTGTAACACTATCCTAAATTGTATAGCTGAGAATTTCTCTGTCAGATGACAACTGCCATTACCTCAAGAGTTTACCAGTTCCCAGAAGGTTTTCCAAGACCCCTTGGGCCGCTGTATTTTGCAGATTGTGTTACAGAACTAAAATATACATTAAAATGTGATCTTGGCAAAGGGATAGTTATCTTGTCAAAAGCAATGTAGAAGTGGAGTAAGGATAAGACTTTCAAGGAATTAATGTTCATTGTTCAACACCATTTAAAGCAGACATATTCTTCAGACACACATTTTCTTCTTTCCTTCTCAGGTATATTCCCAAGTACAAATGTGTGTGTCCCAGTACAGAGGCAGACACATGAACACACATAACATTTGTTATGTTAAGGGCAAGTGTAGTTCTTTGCTATTGCAAGCTATTAAATAAACTAGGTGCAGTAGTAGTCCCACATACGGCACATTACAGTTTGTCTAATTATGAGGTTACAAATGCATAGACCACAGTGGCAAAGCTATCCCTATCCATTTAGAGGTGACACACCAACTCTGAGCCACTAACATCACTTGGGCCTCCAGTGACAG